AATCTCTTCTAATCACAACAGCTATTGTTATTTCACTGTCTATACTTATATCACAGTGAAAACCAGGYATTACGTCATGTCAGAATTTGGTTGGCTTTCTGTATAGGGCGCTGTGCACTGATCTCATACCATTTTCTATGTTGTTTTGTTTTTGTTTGACATTATCGTTATGTTTTGGAATAAATAACCTTATAACCGATGTTTGAATAGGCGTTTTTGTTAGAGTCAATCTATGTTTGACCAACATTTCATTACTTTACTCCAGATTAACGTCCGAARCGACAGTGAGTTATTATTTCACCTACTTTTTAACGGTGTTAACATTTATCTTATTGCACAACTGTTTGACCAACATTGTTGTCCGTGTAGTTAACATGATCAACTACAGAAAAGTTATACAATCCCTCAGTCCAGGTTCGAGACTTTGTAGAGTTTTCTAGAATTCCACTCCATAACTAACACGTAATTTTTCTTTAAATAGCATTGGTGAGCCGTTAAAGATGGTAAATTTGCTTTATCTTTCACTGATATATTCTGCAGTACTGGTTGCTGTGATACCTGCGAATAGACATTCACGTAAGAATATATCTTTTAAAAGCTTCAAAATTGATGTATAAATATTTGTAGCTGAAAAATTAATAGACAAAAGAATTTTCCGTATTTGATCGTAGACCTTATTGAAAATAATTTCTTTATGAGAGCCACTCTTGTAAGCAAAGCTCAAGCGAAACACACATCTAAAGAGTAGTTGCAGTGCCGGGAACAAAGAAATTTAAACCAAACAATGGAGTTTGATGCCAAAGTTTGATGTTTGGTTTTTCAGCGACGTCATGGCGGCCATGTTGGATATCTCATTGGTGTCTACTGTCAGCTACTGTGGTTGTTCGTCTTTTAGTTGTCGATGTTGTTACTACTTTTTATTTATTTTTTCATTCCCGGACATGATTGAAAACCAGATATAACTTTCTACAGCTTCTGTATCGTAAAATTAAGACGATGGGCGGATATATCAGATTGGAAGTTTGCCTTTCCTTTTGATAGACAAGACAATAATTATACACAACTGTCAAGTTGGTTTGTCTTATCTTTCAGTTCCAATTAGCACGTTTATACTTTCCCCAAAAAAACCTTTCTGACCTTCATGCCAGTCAACTTTAATACTCCTACGCGAAAACTTGGCAAAAACGCCGTGGTTTCAGAAAATTATTGAACTCTCTACTGGGACTCTTTTAATTAGGAAAAAAAACTTGGTCCTTTCCTGTGATTTTGGGTCGCAATTTGTAATAACTTTAAGAAAAAGCTTTCTTACTTAGTGTGGCCAAATAAACAATTTATTGTTATTGTTTGTTTTAGATTGCAACATTTCTCTTGGTGTTTCTAATGGTTCTTTACCCGATGCACGAATGAATGCATCGTCTACCAGTGACCGTRATCAGTATGGTGCACACCAGGGCCGTCTTACTGACAGGCAGACGACAACGGGTTGGTGTTCAGCWGTGGGGAGAGTTAATAAGGAATTCATTGAAATTGACCTGGGACAAGACACAAGGCTGTCTGCTTTTGAAACTCAGGGTGTTCTAGTTTGGAACAAGATAACTAGAAGGTAATTAATAAATAAATGAATGAATGATAAGCAAATAACGACGAAGTAAAGGGATGGTTTTCTTGTGGTTGACTTTTATTCCATTCACACCGTGAAACATTAGAAAAGCTCTACTAAAACGCAATGATATCGACGAGGCCTTTTAAAATCACTGCATCCCAGAACCCTTTGCGATTGTTTGCTTTGATATGTGTTGTTGAAAGTTGCCTTCTTATTGGTTCAAAATAAAAGATGGCGATTTTTCGTATAAAATCGCGCAAAGGCAGGTGTTTAATAGTTCATCAACGCTCCTTCAGGTATGATTATAATTACGTCAAGAAATTCTACCTGTCGTATAAAAGAAACCTTGACGAAGGCTGGAGATGGAGGCAGTACAGAGAGAACGAAGTTACTGTAACGGTAAGACTKGAAATATTCGCGCAGCAAATTCCGATCAGTTGCCGAAACAATTCCGATCATGTTACGAAACCTATTCTAATAATCTGAAAATTTCTCTCGAATTTAAGATAACTTTAATGGCGAGTTTCTAAGTCTTCTGTGAAGAGCTGTTATATAACTCCATTAGCCTCCTTTTATGAGTTTCAGGGATGCCTAAATGACTCGTGTTCTGGGCACTCAGACATGAAAATGTATGGCTCTATCATAGCAAAAACAAATTATTGTAAAACATTATCCCATGAGGGTATATTTGTTTCCATACATTGATTTCCTGATATATCATGTATTTACTTGTATTGAGTTTCTTTTAACTGTTACGACTCGGACAACTTTTGCTGAAAAAATCGAAAATATCAATCAAGCTATAACAGCAATGATTGTGCTTTGATTTTCAGCTTTTTAAAAGCAATGGATCTGTTATAAAGCACAATTTACTCACGCCTCGCATTGCTCGTTACGTCAGACTGGTGGTCATTGAAGCACAGGGTAATAGAGCATGTTTTAAAGTGGAGCTKTATGGATGTTCCTGGAAAAAACAGGGTATGTTTTCTTTATGTTTGAGCCCGTGCCTCGGTATTTGTCGGTCTGAGGACTGTATGTGGGCCTCCTTTACGTTAGTCCGTCTCTCAATCTCTTAGTGCGTTTRTTTGTCTGTCCTCGCCTAAGAATTCTCTTCATGCGTGCGCCTGCGATATTTTTGAAAGCGCCTGCGTCCCAGAAATCGTCTATTTGAACATGAGAGGATGCGGAAAAGCATTCTGGAACTTGCAGTTGTAATTAACCGTAATCAGTGAAATTGTAGTTAACCGTAATTGTGGTTGTAGTTCAGTCAAAGCAGTTCCTTATTTTAWTATTCATTTTTACGAACAAATCTAGACGGTCTTGTGTCGTATCGCGTTTCCCAGGGAAACGGCCGAGCAAATGGACCAGGCCTTGGCGATTTGCGAGATGTAGGATACGATGGTAGACGATTAGCATATGGAACCAAACGAGGCGTGTTATCTGGTGGACTSGGTCAGCTGGTTGACGGCGTATTTGGGAGTAACGTACCATGGAATGATACAAACAATACTGCATGGATATCATGGATTGGTTGGCGTGATCCAATCACTGAGCATCCTACAGTTACCTTCCAGTTTTCATCGATAAGAGAATTTTCTAAGATTCGATTTCACGTGCTGAATCAGCCTGGTGCTGAGAAACTGCTGTTTGGAAAGGTAACGGGCTCAATGTCCTTTGCTGCATTTGAATGGATAGCAGTTTATTCTACAATCGTCGACAAAATCTTTGGACCATTCCAGCAAATTTCCTTATTTTAGCAACACCCGCAGACAATTTCATCTCCCCTGACCCCATAAGTACACAACCATCCAAAACAAGACACAACATTGATGAAAGGGGGCTACGGGGGAAAACTGTCAAAAAATAAAGGAGAAAAATGTTAGGCTGGAGACAAATAATTCTATGGTCCAAGGTATTTTGGAAACGATTCAGTGTGGGCCATTTTGCGTTCTCGGATAACCATTTGTTTTCGGGAGCATCCATTTCCCGGGGGCAACTATCGCGGCAAAATGCCCGAGATATTGGTTTTATTATTCGAAAACAAATTTTCTGAAGTAGCGGGCTTTATGCACTTTATGCGGGCTTTATGCACTTTATAGAACCTCTACACGGCGCGGTGGGCAACTTCGCGTCACGTGGTAAACTCTCGACCAATGAGAGCAGTGGAAACTTTGTTGCATTATACTTCAGTTGTGCTAACCTTAGTAAGACGTTTGATGCTTTCTTGTAGGTTGTGATATCGTTCAGTGATGATGGGGAGTACTACACATGGAAGACTGTGTTCGAACCCAGCCTACAAAAAAGGCGAATGAAGAATCGAGCTTTTCTTCTGGAGGTTGCGCTGGATAATCATGAGGGGAAATACGTAACTTGTGACTTTTATTTCCACGGATGGTGGATACTGCTCAGTGAGGTGGAATTTGWATCAGGTACGAGTTGAGAGGGAAGCAAGCTTTCTCTCTGTTCTACCTTTGCTCGCAGGGTTTATTCATTCAAACATCATTACATTATTGCTTTTCCAAGTCAAAGTTATAATTTTTATACGAAAAAAAGAGTTACATTTAAGCCTTCGCACAAAAGAATAACGACTAGCAAATAAACAAACCGAAAACGACAGTGATTTAATGGCAACACACCCGTGTGGTAAACGCTGAAGACTGACTAAATTTTGTCAGGGTATTTATCGGGAAAACTATTAGTTTTTATTGTGTGTACGATCCTTAATACAAGTGCATCTATCTTTGCCTTCATGCAGGTCTTTTGAAACAAGGAAAATCACGCATCAAGAATCCAGGTCCAAAAGTAGAAAATGAAACGATGCCTACACATATTATACCAACGGATATCCTATTGGACGTTAAAGGTAAACATAAAATACGTACATCTAGATGAACAAGGTCAATGATATTTAGCTAAGAAATAGAAAACGATAGAAACATTAAATTTTATGCTTCTTTCTTCATATATTTCTCGTCCGGGAGCCGGTTTTGCGAAGAATGTATAAAGTTATCCACTCCTTAGATTTTGTACGGGATTTTATCTGCTGGATTTATCCGTTGGATAGCGCTATTCGCCATTCGTACAACCGACTCATGATAAATTCCAAGTGCTCCATTAAAGGGCCATGATTAACCAGCATTCAATGTGGTCGTATCTTACATTTTTAATATCTGATATATGGGGTGACAGTTCAAAAATACATTCGCAATCCATTCCCGTCCGTCGGTTTTAAGACCGAATCTCACACTATTCCAAGATATATAATAAAGAGTGCGTCTTTGCTTATTTTACGATGTATTTCTGTTTTCAAACATAAACAGAAGCTCTTATGTGATGTTAGTGGACCCATGGTCCTGTATAGCAATGAAAAATTGATCGGAGTGTTTTATCAGTGTCATTGACAGTGCGCACCTCATCCAATCAAAGCGCGCTAAACAAAAAACCTTTTTTTTTTTACAAAATCACCTAAACTTTGTCTAAGTTCGTATCCCCTTTAAAAGATATAAAAGATAAGTTATTGCTCTTTTAAAACTGATTTCATATTAATATATCAGAATCAGGTTCACCTAAGAAAAAAGACTCAAAGACTGGTGACATTATCCTGTATGCATCTATAGCTGCCGGCGTTGTAGGCGCTCTTCTTCTCGTGGCTGGAATCATTGTATGTCTACGACGWAAATGTGAACCAAGACATAATAACGCTTATGCTAACCCAATCAGAATAGTCAATCGTCTCAAGAAGAACTCCCTAAATCGTAATAACGAACGCTCATACCACGCAGTCAAGAAGAAACTCAAAGATATCGAGCAAGATGATGATGATGATGAAGATGATGATGATTTGAAGAAAAAACGCAACAGTGGCGACGGTATAAAAAAGAATTTTGAGAAGCTTGGTGACGATAAAGATGATCAAGAAGACGACCTTAAATTGCAAATCATTAGAGAATTTGAAGGAGAAGAAGACGAAGAAGAGGTTTKTTATAAGTTAAACAGCTGGAAAACAAACTTTGGCGAATCGTTGTTTAAAGATAGTAAGTAATTTATTGTTATTCGTCAGATTTTGTATTTTTTCCAGTTTGGTTTGTTGATTGCTTTTAGTGGATTGTCGGTTGGTTTGGTGTCTAGTTAGTGGGGTAGTTGCTACGTTGGCTAGCTGTTTTACTAAATATTTGGATAAGAAATGCTGGATTGTTGGTTGGTTGGTTTGGTTTGGTTGGTGGACTGGCTGGTTGTTTGGTCGGGTGGTTGGTTGGTTGAATGAATGGTTGGTTGATTGGTTTGGTGAGTGGGTGGTTGTGTGGTGATCTGGTTGGTTGCTTGGTTAGTTGCTTCGGTTGTTCAGGTGGTTGTTTGGTTGGTCGGGAGGTATGTGTGTGAATTAGTGGTTGGCTGGTTGCTTGGTTGGTCAGTTGGTTGTTTGGTTGGTTAGGTGGTTAATTGATGGGTAAATGGGTGGTTGGTTGGTTGTTTGGTTGGTCGGTCGGTCGGTCGGTCGGTCGGTTTTTTTGGTTGGTTAGGTTGTTGGTTGGGTGGGTCGGTGGGTAAATGGGTTGTTGGTAAGCGTCATACAATGAGTGTCAATATACATATTAATAAGTTTTTCTTTCTCTCTTTCAGTTGTTTCGAGTGAAGACGCAGCAAACCTGAGACCAGAATCACGTGAAATAACCCTTGAAGAAGAGAAAGCKATGGTCTTAGAGGAGATGCGCAAATTATCTGAGAACTCRAACGATCCCTCTGCTTAGTGAAGCGACTGTAAAACAAGTAAACTTTTACCTAAAGTTATCTRCTTTTAACCACTGGAAACAACTCATTCCTATTTCTATCGTCGYATTTCCAGCCCATATCTACCGSCTTCGTCGAAATTGGCATTTCTTAAGTGTTAAGAAGTTCGTTGTTACCCTGGTTACACATACCCTGGTTATAGAGGTTCTCGGCTTCTACTTTATCTCTAATCTGTTTATGTCTGATGTGCCGGTTGAGCCAGCTTAATGAGAACACTCTTGCCATTGAGAGGGGAATTTCTCCTAATTTCGCCTGTTGTCAGGGCATTTACTATTATTTTTTGAAGGCGAGATAAAGCTTCAAGGCTTTTTGCGCTTAGACGAAGAAAATACCGTCTTTATCTCCTAAGAACAACTTGGTAGATTGATTTTTTTGGGAGACTGATGTGGAATTCATTTGTTCAGCTCTACCTCTACTATGATCACTCTGTGSTACTAGTGCCGACGATTTTAGGTCCAGACGATATGTTTATCATATTTTCTTGAGTTAGAGTTTTGGATAGCTCAAGATCTTCTCCCCAAAAAAAGTGAAAAAAAAAAAATGAATGAAATGAAGCGATTAGATATGTTTTCTGCCTGCATGAAGGCTAATGATGGACAATCCATCTGAACAACCAATATTTCCGTTTGTGTTTTAAAGCCTGGTAATTCTAATTAATCAAACCGAATACTTTCACCACAAGTCAACATCTATAGACGATATGAAAGCATTTCCTTAATAACACTTCACGTACWGTACAGATGTTCCGGTTGACACACGTAGAAGATAAGAAGGAGCCGGAGGTAAAAATGTCTACCGATTTAGAGAGAAAGTTGTTCCTTTCCATTCTTACTGTTCACTCTTTCAGAAAATCTTCTTATCGGAAAGAAAAAGAGACTACAAAAAAATGCACTAAAAAAGAACAAACAAGCGGTTCTGTGTATTGCATTTTTGCGTGTGTGATTTTGTTTTGTTTTTTTGCTTTTTGTTGTTTTTTTTTGTGCAGTTTTTTTACTAATAACTTCAATAACATATATTATTAGGCTACTGTATGTGGGAGTTCTGGTTTTTAAACCATGCTTTACAACTACCACGCAGTGAATTATGTTTGGTTCCGTACTAATGATGTTTTGGGCGGTGAACGTCTTTCCCTTCTATCTCTGTACAYAGAATTTCAAGTGGATTTCAAGTTTACATAGTCGGCTGAAATTTCTATTTTTCTATATAGGTATCAATTTCAGTCGCCGGAAAAATATTAGAGTGATAGCCGGCGATKTTATAAAGCCRCTCACCAGACGAGAATCTGAGTGTTGTTATTAGTGTTAATGTATTGTTTGCATTATATATATTAAGCTTTTAAAATTTTTAGACAATCTTGAAGCGTGCCTAGCAGAAGAAAGAGATAGAATTGCTTATCTCTTTGCTTCTAGAAGTATTTAGTTGCAGATGAAATGAGCGATAAKGTATTATTCTGTGATTCTATGAATCGTTATTAAAGGGCCGTAGCCAACCAGGATCCCTTGCGCACTTTAATACAACAAAAACCGTTCTTTATTCAATAGGAGTCTACCTCGGAATATTTCATATATATCTCAAGGCTTCTATTAAAACCGACGAATGGAAAGTGATTTATTACAATAATTAAAATCACACCGATTTTTTTGATCTACGAACGCAGTGCTTGTTGGTTGCTATGGCTCTTTAATAGTCTTCAKTAACAACCATATAGCATTCATTGTACATAGTCTTTTTTAATATTTGAATTTTTAATAGTCATTAAAGTGTTAGCACTATAATTAGGAATTATAACTTTTTATCATATAATTATCTATGAAATACCTATATTTCTCCATTTCGTAAAATTGATATTTTCACATTTGAAGTTTCTGTATATAGTGGAAGTAAGAAAAAAGGTATTTTACGACATAATTTGCTTTCATATGTAATTATATGATAAACAGAATATTACATGGTCGCTTGGAGATACGAATTTTATCTTCTCATGTTGAAAATCTTTTCAACGCTCGAAGATAAAATCCGTATCTCCGCGCGTCTATGTAATATCCTCTATTGATGAATATTTTTTATCATATATAGAAGTTGCATTTTGCGTGTGAACTATGTGAATATTTCGTAGTGCTTCTAAAAGTAAGCAGCTATTTATTTTTGCATAAACACTTGTACAGAATTTGTTAATATTAAAGCAAAAGCGAAGCGTTTGTAACATGATACACCTAATTGCAAAAATGTTGTAATTTAGATTTAGTAAAAAGGAATTTATTAGAATGAAATACAAAATAAAGGTCTCAGGCTAAACATTTTCGTTTGTCTTTTTAATACATTCTTTTTTGCTAAAGTACAAATGTTGAATTTCTCTATCATTGCAATTAGGTGTATGCAGCGAAGTCATTAAACCCGTGAAACGAAATTTGTCTTTTAAAGTGTGATAGTCAAATAGACAAAATTAAGATAAAATCTAGATATCAACTATTTACCACACAACAGATATATCATATAAACTCGCCAGCTGTTTTTATGACAAATGAAACATTCTGATTGGCTATTGAAATAAAATACTATATGTGCTAGTTACTAAGTTTAGGGTCATTAAACCAATAGACCAATGGAGACAAAGAGAGTGTACAAAAGTGTTTTAGTGTACTATTTCACGGGTTTTTTTTTCTCCACTCAACTCTAGTTATTTCACGGGTTTAATGTAACTCTATGTGCAGTTGTATTTATATTGATGATTTTAGCTTTAGATTTTGTTAACAGTTTTTCAATAAATAATAACTCATGAGCCGATCGACTGATCCCTTGACTCCAGAATGAACCAGTCAGTGCTAAGTACAGTATTCAAGCGATGGAGGAAAAATATTTGAACAGCAAGCTTACTTGCAAGCAAGTCCGCTGTTACCTGGTGTTTTCCGCGTACTTTTTTCTTCTCTTTTCTTCTCAAAACTCAATCCGGCCCTCGCGTCTACGTTTACGTGTACCTCATCCTTGATGACTACGGTAACTGCTGTTATTAGTGTAATAGGTCTTTGTTATCTTGCTTTCCCGCCAAAAAGGACCTTACTACAAATACGGCCGCCATCTTAATTTCATTGGCTTCGGTGTGGAATGGCCGCGTGGCACTTAATGACTGCACAGCTTTGAGGATACAATACTGAAATGATTCATTTCATAATATCAAGTTGACTCAAACTTCAAAAGTTATTTTTTTTTTACGACCGTCTTGGTTACCATTACTATTGTTTGGTATTTCTTGGTGTGAGAGCCCCGCTAAGCGAAAAGAGCGCGGAATGATCGGTGTGAGTGGCAGAACTCTTGAGATCTCTGTGTCAGTAGTGACCTTTCAAGCATGCTGACCTTTCAATAATAATAAGAAGACAGCTAGATGAACAAAACAACAGTTCAAAATTTCCAAAATTTGAATACTACGATAGCAGACCATAGCAGCAATCGAGAAGCGACTTGCCTGTCGTATGTGTGTTTCTATTTTTAAAGTTAACTTATGATAATTTTTTCGCTTTTTTTCTGTTTTTCGCTTTTTTCGATCTCTCGTGTGGCATTCAGTTTTCAGTTTTCTATAATTCAAACAAGAACCTCCACTTGACTATGAATTCCAACTAGAGAGTTCAAAACGTGGTTCATAAATATTCTACTCATAGACAGCAAGGTTATAATTTTGTCTTCCTCGCTTATGAATTCCTAATCATAATTGGTAAACATACGGCGGGAAGCCGTTTACCGCCATCTTCATTGTTCTCGAAAACCAAGCAACGCTCTTGTGTGAAATAAACTGTGACTGAACTCGCTTTCTTGTTGTTGTGAACAAGAAGGCAAATTATCTCAAAATATGGCTTCACTGAAAGCTCTTTTTAACTTCGGAATCATCACGCAGATGAAAGGGAAAGCCTTATTTTATTGACTCCTACAAAGAAGTACCTATTCAATACAAATGAATGACAAGGACTAGTAGGCGCTGACCTCGATAGCACGGCGCTCAGCATAGTTGATATTTAGATGACTGACAAAAAAGAGCGTTCAGATTCGTGTGAGTCAGTATTGCGAGTAAACAATTCAGAAAACAGAAAACACGCGAATATTTTTTCACTGAAAAGGTACAATTGATGAAAAGTTTAATACAATTTGCTGTAAATGTGTTCAAATGAATCCAGGCTAGCGAGTCCAAAAGCCTCGAGCCCACTGATAATCAAATAACGACATTTGCTTTACAAAAACAGTTATTCTTTTCATTTGATATTAACAGTGCTACTTTCAGAATTCATTGAAAATGTAGAAAAACTGCCCATTCATCTTTCTGTATTCAATATGTCTGGATTATTTTAAAATTTAGCATCAAAGACGTAGACGATTTTAGAGTGATTTATTTTGACAACAATATTACACCCCATGTCCAATATTCACAAAAATACCCTTGACATCATTGAAATTCATATCATATTATGACATATTAGCGGTCTACTATTTTTCCGCTTTGTCTCATATTAGCGGCTTTGGGCAACCATATGTTAAAATCCGAAAATACTCTCTTAATCGAGAAAATAATTCTACCGTTTAGAACATCATATATTCGTTACTTTGCTTGGCGATTTCTACTATTTACTGACTTTTAATTTAATAAGATTTTTGTCTTTTCCAGTTTTCGATGAATAAAGCAAATAACGAGGCAAGAAAAATAAAATAACTGTCATCTTGTTTTGTTCGAAATGGCATTATTTGAGTTTTTCATAAATTCAGATGTATGAGGAAAGTTTTAATAAACGTTTCTGGCTATTTCTTAATAATTTATGTTCAATTAATCGTTCTTCATTTTCCAAAAGTTCATAACTTTTTGTTGGTAAGTGAGTTCTTCGCTGTCCTTTTCATTTACAGCAGAATAACCAGACAAGCTCATCCAAATTGACTTGCTTGCGTTGATGATGGGCGCAACGAACAGGGCCAACAAAAATACGAACAGAATCACTAACGAAAAATGTCGGAAAAAGTGTATATCCGACTTACGCATCAAGAGTCCTCCGATGATTTCTCCTAAGCCTCGACCCAATCCATTGTATATAGCATGTAGTATACCTTGTAACGTTGCTCCAATTCTTGGTGGGGTACCGACGTATGATGCCAGGCTGCACCACACCAAGGCCTGGCAAAGTCCGCTTAAAAGTTCCATTGGTAGCACGAGCCACGCGTTGGGAATTATAGAAAAATAGAAGAACCTAATTGCATAGACTGCCAAGCCAAGTACTATATTCCTTACATGGCCAAACTTCTTGATGAGGTACACGGAAGCATAGTACATTGTTAAGTTGGAGAGACAATGCACGCCGGCCAGAGCGCTTAGCAGTGCTGTGGTAGCTCCAAGCTCTATCAAGTGCGTGTTGAGGAAGGCTTGCGCTGTACCATATGCGATTCCAAGGAATAGAGCGAGTACAGCAAAGAGAATGTACTCCACGTTAGAGAATACCTGGCAACTCTTGAACAGCGCGCATCGTTCACCGATATGTTGGTCAGTGTTGTTGAATTTGAATCTTGTGGCAATGAATAGGGCGACGGTCATCAGGGCAGCGTACACGTAGAAAAACGGCCGATAGATGTCAAAAACGCGGTTGGGGCAAATGTCAGTGAGTTTTCCATATTGATGCGTTACAATGTTGCCAGTGATAAATGCTGCTATACCCCATCCTATTTCCCCCCACAGTCGCTGTTCCCCGTAGTCCGTTGGGTGATTGCCGAGGTTTTGTAACGTAGCGACGTCCGCTAGAGTATTCGAGGTGGCTCCCAGAAGCTCTCCTGCTATTGTGATGGTCAAAACGACCACGAACACCACTTTTGCCTTTTCGTAGGTTTTGGGATCCAATTTTCTGTAAACGTCAAACACCCAGTTTTGCTTAAACAAGTCCATGTTCCCTCTTTCTTTAATTTCGATGTGCTTATGTTGTTGTTCTGTCAATTTATGGTTATGAATGGCATGTTTTAAGACGTTTTCTTGTTTGGTATTGTTACTGTGAACTGTGCTGTTCAATTTCTTGTTGACCTCACTGAGACATGACATATTAACAGGAGGCACGACCGTGAGGATTAGACAGTACGTTATATAGGAGAATAAAGCCACTACTAACACTGCGCGGACTTTTCTGTACTTGTCAGCAATGGTACCCAATATGGGTGCACTTACAAATAGGCAGAAAGGACGAATTCCTATAACAATGCCTACGAGATGAGCAGGCATTTGAAGTGAGTGTTTAAAGTACAAAGGTATATATGGCTGTAAAGATCCAAGCGCCGCGAAATAAAAGAAATAAAACGCCTTGTAAACCACCATCGACTTGTCGACGTCCAAGTGAAGACGGTCTATCAGAGATGGCTTGTGTTTTTCGACCTGGTTCTTTTTACTGCTGGAATCGTCGTCTTCGGCGTTGAATAACTCCCCCACATCATGTCTTTCTTCGCTCTCGGTGAGCCTTTCTCGCTCAGAGTCAGTCATGTTTGAAACTGAAACCGTTATTTACAACTGCCACATTGTTTAGAGATATCCGTTTAGTTTAGAATGAATTCTTTAACACATCAGCCGCCACAGTAAAACTAAACGCAACATAAAATTTGCGACGGTGTCGACCGCTCACTTCTCGATCCAACAGAGCGGGGCAGATGCTTTTGCTCGATTTATATTGAAATTTGCATCTGCGTTGCTCAGGAAATGAACCGCCAAGCGTTCTGAATTCTTTAATCTTCTATTGGATCGTTGACACCGATAGATTTGACCTCCTCTCGTTGATTGACATATGTTAATTCGTCACAATGGATAATCAAACACGTAAATAGAATCAAATGCTTGCATTGTCTAACAACATTTTTCTTCAAAAAATTATAATAATAATAAAAAAAAATACAACAAAAATTCAAAGAAAAGCAAAATGATTCAAAGTAGTATATTCTAATCTTGGTTGAGTGCGAGCTAGGCTCGTCAGTAAATAAAGAGACCTAAAGAGCCATGTCAGTGTTGGGAACCCAACACAAAATTTTAATTAAGATAAACATTGATTTATGTCAACGTAGTTATGTTTACTTTCGACGATAATAATTCCAAAAAAACGCTTTGATAAAACTTTGATGAAAATTAGATTTTTATGAATTCAAACGCATATTTTTTCCTTTTTAATTTCTTAGTAGCTGTATCTATCTATTCAACCATTCTAATGTAAATAGGCTTATTTTGACTTCGACGTATTTTTCATTAATATTTCATTATTAATTTCATTGAGCTTCGTCTATTTCATAATCTTTTTCATTAAACAATTCGTCTTGCTTTCTTTTAGTCTTTTTTATAGATGGACCATGTGTTTTTTATATTGATCGGTTGGTTGAAAACATAGCGTCACCACTAAGCATGGGTTCATGGATGCGACGCCGTCAGTTGGAATTCGCGCGCCTCTTTGGGGTTTTTCCTTTTTTATAACTTAATCCATAGTTCTAAGTTATTAAAAACAATTAATAATGAACTATAGTTGTATTATAGAAAAGATTTTTGCTTTTATAAACAGGGGCACCGTGTCTTTTAGTATGTCAAATTTAGTATGTCAAAAAAAAAAGAAAGAAAGATGGCGGCATGGACTCAGTTTGAGTTTCTTTTGGAGAAATGTGGAAAACACTCGTTTATATTTATGCGAATTTGTTTTGTACTTTTGACGCGCTAATAATGTCGTAACAGAAATAATTGGAAATCAAAAGACAGTGACGCTTGTTTTAGATTCAATTAGGACTTAACTTAAATACAAAACTGCTCAGTGACCCATTAAAAAAATAACTGCCGTGAAAAAATCCATATAGAATTTACTTTTTTTCTGCAAACATGAATGCCGAATGCTCTGGTGGGGTGTTGTTGATGGCCTTATACCTTACTATAAGGCAAAGTTAACTATGACCAGAGAAGTGCAGTGTATACTGGCTGAGAAGACGTTTACTTTTTACCCGTCTCGAGTACTAAATGTAATTCAAAGTGTACTTTTTAATGCCATATACATTAATATCAAGATGTTTGGTTTCATATGAAAAACAAAACTGTTCTGTGAACCATTAATACAAAAAGTACCATTATGMTAAGCTATTGAAACACAGGGACAAAGAAATGAGGATCAGTCGTTGGATAGATGGTCACGTATCGGCCAACGAAACATGAATAATGTCAACGCAAATTCAACGAACTGGAAAAATGTGACACAGCAGGCTGACTATAAAAAAAGCTTGACGGGAAGCGTTGATATTGCTACCATTTTTAGTGGTCTTCAGTCCTCAGTGATTTTTTCATCATTATCTATAATTAGCCTTTTATTAGAATGCTCATCACTCAAATCATCGAATCTAAGACTGAAGGGGATTTTGGGTACTTGGCTTGTCTTCCCAAACATCCTTTCGGCCCTACAATGCTTATCATGAAACCCGGCAGTACTTTATCAATTACACTGGTGTATCATAAAGTACTTCTGGTACAAACGATATAGAAATGAAAGAAAGTTATAGTGCTTAGAAGGAGGCAATTCCGAGAGAAAGACACTTAGGAATAAGTTCGGAAACATTAATTTCCGACCTCGCTGGGATTCGAACCCACGACCTTCGGATTTGTACTACCGATGCTCTACCAACTGAGCAACAAGGCCAGACTGGGAGCAGGTGGGGGTGAAAAAGGCGAAGTTGTCTACTCGATAGTATACTGGGACGGTAATGTACACGATGAAAATAGCTTATTATGACAGACACTCGCACTCAAGTATTTTTGACATGCCAGTTCAACAAAGCACGAAAACCCACGAAATTTTTAGGGCATGCAAAACGGCGTCGTCGAACTGCATCAGCGAACAAAATCCGTCCACGACACGAAGTTCATGCAATTTTAATCATAACAACACTGTAACAAATAGAACGAGGATATCAGGAAACCCAGCTGAAATGACTTTTGTTTGAATTTCGATGACCTTTTATATATGCGGAATCCCCCACGTAATGATTTTATTTGTTCTTTTTTTGGTGAAAATAAAAAGTTTCCACCAAATCGTCCCCATGCACTATATATACCTTGGATCTTGTGATAAGTATCACTGTCGGTAAAACAGCAATGAATACTCAGTTCATAAACAAATAAACTTTTACAACTTTTACAATCCTTGTGCCAAATTTATGATGATTATATGTATAGATAAGATGGCGCCTTCTCATACCGAAATGCATTGTTGGTCTTTCTATATCGATGTGCAAAATGAGTTTTCGTGATTTCAGAGTGACTATGTATACCAGCTCTGTACAGTCAAGAACTTCTTCAATGGAAAGAAATTATGTATAGAATTATTTTTACACAGGTAATGTTGAGTTTAATACCAATAATGCATTTCGGTCTTGTAATGCACTATGCAGCATTCGTGATTGTGTTGTATATTGTATACGCTGAGCACTAAATGATGCTGTGATTATAGCGCACCCTAACAGGCCCGACACGCGTTGATGTCTTTTGAACCCCTCGTAAGAGCCGTGTTTCGAAAAAGGCAATTCTAAACTTAAATTGCTTTCCATCGAAATTCGACTTAACTTTTCAGATGAAGCAGTGAAAACCACTTCAAACGGCGATGCGACAACCAAGACTGCACTGCATTCTTGATAGAATCATCAACTGTGCACAGCACAGTTACAACGTACAGAAGAATAAATCAGTGACAAAAAATGACTAAATTTYAGAGTCAGAAACGAGGCTAAGCGACTTTAGATTTAAATTGTGACATCAGATCGGTCTGATACTTGTACTTCATTTATCACTGTCTCTCTCTATATATATTCTGCCTCATGTGCCCATTCATGGTATAAAGCAAAATGTAATGTTGTAATCAGTATAGAAATATGTGATTAATCTCTACGAATCTGTGTTCTATATATTGTTCTCTCATGCATATGAATCATCGTCTCATTCACCAGGTATGATAAGGTCTTGGTCGACGTTTTGCGTAAGGGGCTGGGATAGGAGGCAAGAATGTTATAGTCTTGCGTACAGCACGTGGATCCCAGATCGCGTTTGTACTTCCACGAGTTTCTTCACACACGTATTCGGGATACCCATATCTTCGTACAACTTTCTTATCTTTGGTCTTGACGGGTTTRGTAGGTACATAGTTAGGTACATAGTAGAATGGGTTATAGTAGGCCTCTCTTGGATAACCATAGGGRCCATATCGGTACTCATCATCCAAGAAATACTCAAAGTTGCGATGAACTTGTCGCACTTTCTGGTTGTTTTTCTTTGATACCAGAACATAGACSCCTTCACAGGTGTGATCTTTAGAGGGTGTTTGCGTTGCCTTCTCAACGACGTAWGTACTGTATGGATGCARGTATTTATCGCGTACTAGAGGATCAAGCGATAAATCGACGTACTCTTTTGTAGCTGTTTTCTGGTCTAGTTTGTGTTCCAAGTCCCTGATCCGTGCTATCATTAGCCTCATAAATTTCTTTTCATCTCCGTTGCTTTCGCTTTTCAGTGATGTTATCACTCGGTCGATTTTATTTTCCACCACGTCAAACCTTGCGTCCGAAACCCGTCGATCGACAAGRTCCCTGATCTCAAGATATGTCATTTGTTTGGATAAATCGTCCTTGGTACTTGTACTGACATCAAGCGAACTACTGCAACCTCTGCGCGGAGAATCGATATTGTCCACAGTGTCAGAATTCTTTTCAAAACTTTTCAAATTCTTTCTTTTCAGGTTTTCAATGAATTCATCCACCGAGTAGTCTTCATCTAGAACATCGGCATGGTTCATCTTCTTAAGACGTGARAACTCGTCGTCGCGGTCACCATTCAATACASTTTTATCCATTTTTGACTTCCAAATSGTTGTAGCATCGGAAAGTCAACAGATA